TACTGAGGAGCAGCAGACAGAAAGCTAAGACGTTTAGACAAACTGACAGGCAGCGCAAACAAAAACAGCATGCAAACTACGAAATGCGGAAAGTATAACGGCGGAGGGGGCGTTTGAGCGGGCGTGACAGACAGTTGAGTAAACACAGCAACAATCGAGAGCTGGCTGTGGAGTAGCGGAAGGCGTGTAGTTAGTAGTTGCAGTTTATTTGTTAACTTTACTGTACTTTTGATTTGTTTGTTGCCGACTTTTTCGAGGTGTGTGTGGAGTTGCGCTCTGCAGTAGTGTAGCGCAAAATTGAGGAAGTTGCAAGTTAAAGTTTTTGGCAATTGCATTACACGCTGCAAGCCAATAATTCGCTTTTGTTTACACATTTCACTTACACACACACGCACACGCACACACACACAGAAACACAAACTCAACTTCGCTGCATTGCGCCTCACGTTATGCCTCAAGTTATGTAGCACCTTGCTTTTCGGCTGCCAGTCGCTTTGTTGCCTGCGTGCGAAGTTGTTGAGTTGTCATAGCCACTTGGCTGCTGCTGTGCTGTGGTTACTTCGTATTTAACTGTGGTCACGTTTTTGCACGTGTGAAAATCTAATTTGCATCGAGACATAAGGAAGATGTCTGCAATAGGGCTGAGATTGAAAAATGTAATTTGTATCTGCCGGAGAGTTTTTCGTATGGCTGCTGTGTTTACTGGTGCTGCATACGGATTGCCACATAATGGCAGCGCTTTAATTGGAGAATTTGAAAAACTGTTTTTGAAGCGTAGCGCCGAAAAGTATGCACGTTTTGTTACAAATTATGCGAATTTGTTGAATGCAAGGTTAAGGATTCTATTATTTTTTAGCGCCGTTACGACCATATTTAATACGTCGTGATTAAAGTGTCGCTTATATGGGAGAAAAAATTTTTTTTAGATATCGAAATGCATAGCTCCAGACTTAATTAAATACGAAATTTCATCTTCCCACGTCAACGCTAACCCGTGCCGACAGTACTCCGAAAACGACTGGTGATATGTAATTTTTTTTTCATTGCATTCAATAATAATTTTAATTCCAATCAAGACCAATGTTTACAAATTATTCAACCCTACTCTCAAACGAATCCTTCTGAAATTGCAACTTTTTTTGCGCTTTTGAAATTTTATGGTCATAATAATCATCCATCTGTGGTCTTCGTCGAATGGTTGAAAATTTTGGGCGTACATTTTCTTAAAGTTCAAGTGCCAATAAGACAAAGAACAGCTCGAAGTAATGTCATGCCGTTCAGGCAAGTGTAGCTGAAGACTGCAATTTGTCGATTCCAAGAGCTTCTCAAAAATTGGAAATGTCTCAAACCACATTCTATCGAATTTCAAGAAAACATTTGGGCTTCCATCCCTATGAAATTGTTCCAACTCAAGAAATGAAGTTATTGAACTAGCATAAATGTTCGTGCATTTTTGATTTTGCTTTGAAAAACTTTGAAAACGATAATAATTTTTTTTTTTTAGTAAATTATCTTCCGGTTGAGGCTAACTTTCATTTGAGTAGTGCAGCAAATAAACAAAACTGCCGATTCTGGTGCAAAGAAAATCTACAAATTATTCATAAACAACCACTAAATTCACCTTAATTGAGAGTTTGGTGTAGTTTCTGGTTCGCACTTCTTTCCAAGTGAAGCTGGTAACATCCATACTGTTACTGCCAGAACGATATAGATCGATTGTAACAAACTTTTTATGACCGCAATTGGAAGCAATTGATATTGTAAACATCTGATTCCAAGTAAAGGAACTTAACTAAGATAAAGAACTGTAATTTGGCATAGCTGATTGCAGTGACAAGGCGAAAAAGTTGACGAGTCTCTTGTTCCAATAAGACGGAACTACGTGCCACGCAGCACGTGTAGCAACCGAATTAATGCGCAACAAGTTTAGAGATTCGATTATTTCAATTAATTGTGCCATTGAAATGTGACACCGTTCACAGTTTTGAAGTCAATAACCGTATTATTCATAACATTGGACTTCATTTGGTGGAAAACGTGCTCTAAAATAGGTTGATCGAACTCGTTCTTGCAAAAGAAATAATGGAGGCCATTTGTTGATGCATGTTATATTCAGAACTTAATTGTACCGATTGTAATATGAATTCGAGATCGCAGTTGTGAGTACCATATGTAAGCCAATAACTGAAGTTAATGTACATATTTCGGAAACCATAGGTGGTCAAACACAATTTTTTATTTCCATTCAGTTTTGCACTTTACAGTATAAACATAAATCCAACAATAACGAAGATGTCGAGTCAAAACTCGCCACATATATCCCTTTTAAGGCTTCCACATTCTGACTAATAACTTGCCACATCAGAACATAACTCTTCAAGTTCTCGAAATCCGTATATGTGGACCTCAATATCTTTATCGCAATAATATGTCTTAATACATAACATTGGTTCAAAAAACTATCTACTTTGGTCAAATAGGTAATACCTTTATTAGTACCTCTATTAGACCACATTAGATAGTTTTTGAAAACATAAGGAATTGTAGTACAATGATACCCATTAAAAAGATCAGAGATCAGGAAGGAAATAACAAATATTCAGGGAACTTAATTTAAGGGCGATCTGTGATTGGAAAAAGGAAGCGGAGGTTGTTAATTCATAAAAAATTAACTACGCACCTACCCTTCCTTTTCCCAATCAGAAATCGCCCTTAAATTATTTTTACTTGAATATTTGTTATTTCTGATTATGGAAATGTTGTAGATAATGAAAAGGCTTATAACTTTGCCATATAGACTTTTTCACATAACCTCAAATTTTATAAATTTCATGTCAAATATTCAAATAATGAAGTTTTTGGGTTTTTTATTAGTATCTTACACAAAAATTTTATTTCCTTTACGAAATTTGTTGAAAACTTTCCGTCTTATGTCTATGAATTTCAATAAAAAAATCACAAGTCAAATTATGAAGTTTTGTTTTTGAAACCGGTAGGCATTATGACCGCTTATGGTATAAAATATATATGTGTAAATTACTTTGTAAGTTTTCACAGTTTTATGCTGGTATGCGATATCTTTTTGAACTTAATGGAAATGAAACTTAATTTTAATCATAATGTGGTTAAGTGAGGCATTTGATATTGAAATTCGTCTAGCCTTGGGTCTGAACTCCTTAATCTTCATATATAAAAAGCACGTGTCACGTTGTTTGTTCGCGATGAACTCCTAAACTACTAAACCGATTTTAGTAAAATTTAGTACACTATATAAAGTTCGAACCATCTTAGAAGATAGGATAGTTGAAACAATTCATAAATAAAGAATTAAGTGAAAGCTCTCTTAAAACGGACAACTCTATTAACTGAACAGTAACGCTGGTAACCAGACATTGAGAAAGCAGCCTTAAATTAGTTTTTTTCCAATGAAATTTATTTGTATGAACATAATCAAAATTAAACCCCAGGTACAATCCTTTGGGTTCTTATGCCGACAAAAACGTTTTCACCTTTATTCGTAATAAAATTGTCACTGAATTGGATCGTGGCCGGATCCCTTAGTATAGTTATATATTTAGCACCTTTTTATTATACTCACCAGTCAATAGACGACGATGTAAAAATTGCGAACAAAAGATGACATGTAAAAAAGACACGAAGGGTCCGTCTGCGAAGTCGTATCGAAATAAAAAGAAGAGAGTACTTCGTGCATTGGTCCATTTTGTAATGATGGGTGTGGACCTCATTTAGTCAATAGTGACTTCTAATTACTTTGTCTGGCTCTTTCCGCATATATCTTGTTGTATATGTATATACATATATACATATATACAACTCAGTTGAGTTAGTAAACCTGATTTTATTACAAAAATTTCGGAACCGAATAAAAATATAGCAATGAAATTAAGGGAATCGAATAAGAACGACATACAACGAAATCTACGAAAAGGCTGACAGGTGGAACAAGGCGAGATGGAATGCGTTAAGTACTTGCAAGATCGCCAAGATCATGTGCAAGAGCTCATTAGGAAAACTCGCATGCAAAAAGTTACCTCGAAATGTAGTGTCTGCCAATAACAATTTCTTCCATTTATTGTTATGCTATTTACGATTTCAATTTCGGCCAAATGGTCACGATGGCTCCGTTTGCATATCTCCAAAGTTTAAGCAAACTTTCGATGACTCGATGGAAAACTTCGGCCTTAGAGCGCTGCATGTTATCTTCGAGGTACTCGAGCATTGATTGGAGAATACCTTTAATTTAACAAACCTGAACCATTTCCGGAATCGCACGAGAATGATCTCACCCCAAATGCGACCTTTCTTGACAGAACCATTAAGCCAAAAATGGGACACGCCTGAGAATATGAATTTTGAGTGAGTTTTTCGAAGAAATAATAATCTTAAATAATTTTCAAGCGTTTAACCAAAGTAAAGCGTGTCATGATAAAATGGCAAACCTTACTGAACACACTGAAAACATTAGATTGAAGAACATAAACAACCGCCACGAGCTGGCGAAATTCCTGATTACCTTCTCATATACCAGAGTCTCTCAAACGAACTTATTAAATGCAATGAAAAGCTATGTTCAAGTATTTTTAAAATAAAATAAATAATTAAGCAAATGTAAAGACTTGCAATGAAAATGACTTTTGTAAAATATTTTATTTAATAAAACCTAATCTAACCAAAAAATCAATCAGTAACAAAAAAAAAAACAAAAACAAAATTTATTTCAAGCATTCAATAATCCATACAATGAATCATAAATGGCTCAAGTTAAGGGTTACTCTTTTGAACACATTTTATTATAAGTCAATAAATCCAACAAAATCATCAACCAATCATAAAGCAATTATTCAAACTACATTCAAACAGCATTAATAACACTAACTCCACCACCAACATCACCTACCTATTTTTGGGTTTTTAATAAGCATCATTTTTTACAAAATCGAAATCAAAATTTTAAATTCAATTTCTTTTATTTCTTTCAGCACCCGAAGCGAATGCCAAACGCATTCTGGAGGAGGCCAGCACGGCCGTTCATCGGCGCTATAATTTCTTTGAGACGACCATACAAATCGAGGAGTTCACACCGGCAATGGAGAACTGTCAGCAGTGTTGTGTGCCAGTCACGTAGACGGGGGGACAATCAACAATGCTATAGCGGGAGTGGAAGCCACAGCGCTGCGTCGTCAAGCACAATTTTTGTAATGCCATTTAATATACATATATACGCGCCTACATATATGCTTGTAATCTGTATTTAGTTATAAATGGGAGGAAAAGTTTTTGTTTTGTAACTTTTGCTTGTAAGTACTTTTTCGTCGTCTGTGTCTGTCGTAAGAAATTTTTGTGGTTTTCTATTAAATTTCACATTCTTTATTTAATGTGCGCTTTGAAGCGGTATTTCGACACAACGAATTTGAATTATTCTCTTCCAGTTTCGAGTTTGTCTTGTTTCCCATGCTTAGTTCTAATATTATAATATAGAGTGAAAGTCACTTAAGTGCAAACATTTTCCAATTTATATTAAAATTTTATTGTAATAAATATTTTAAATAAAATGTAATTTTTTCTCTTTTGAAAACTGTGCATTTATTCAATTACATATTTCTTTTTGTTTCCCATTTACATATATAATATACTGATATTTTAATATTTGAAATAATTATAATACTTTCGATTTAATTTAATTTCTACTTGAAATTTAATTTTAACTATACTCTAGTATAGTTCAATGTAGTGGTTCAGTATAGTTTTAATGTGAATTAGTATTAGTTTTATATT